TCTCGGGCATCGTTTTTTTGTTTTTGGTAGTGGTATAAAAATGTCCAGTACCCGCACTAGACTCTAATTTAATCTTTTCTCGACCGCCTTTAGCCATGATAAACCTCGTATGCTAATCAAATTAAAGAGTACCAGCAGCACGCATTTCAGCGACTACGGTATCGATGCCTTTTTTGTCGATCAAGCGCAAACCAGCCGTAGAGATTCGTAAAGAAACCCAACGGTTTTCAGATTCTAACCAAAAACGACGACTTTGTAAATTCGGGAGAAAACGACGTTTGGTTTTATTGTTTGCATGAGAAACATTATTGCCAACCATCGGTTTTTTTCCGGTAACTTGACACACTCGTGCCATAACAACCTCCAAATCAATCACTAAAATCTTAAAAGTTTGTTTTGTTGTGTAAAAACACATAAAACAAAAACGCTAGCCCATGATTATAACACTATATTTTTGTGAAAACCATGGGTAATGCAAAAAAATGGTAAAAATTGTGTTTTATTTCCATTTTAAAGAGGAAATACAGGCAAAAATGACCACAAGACGTGACTCAAGAGGCTAAGGGCGGTGCAGAGGTAATCCACAATCTCGTTGCTTCCGTGCATAGTGGAACGGTATTAGGGTTCTGTGCCTCGCTATAGTTTGCTATAGCTATGCTAGGTCACGTATTGGGCTCCTATTTTATCGATAATGGGCACTCGCCTACTCGCCTTTGATACGCTCGATATTAGCCCCAACCGCATTAAGTTTATTTTCAATATGTTCATAACCTCTATCGAGATGATAAATACGATCAATAATCGTTGTGCCCGTAGCAACGATCCCCGCAATCACTAGCGAAGCGGAGGCTCGTAAGTCTGTGGCCATGACGGTCGTTCCGGATAAATGATCGGTTCCTTCGACCATTGCCGTATTGCCTTCAATGGTGATATGTGCGCCTAATCGATTCATTTCTTGGACGTGCATAAAACGATTTTCGAAAATGGTTTCCGTTACCCGTGCTGTGCCTTTTGCGATACTGTTAAGGGCCATAAATTGAGCTTGCATATCGGTTGGGAATGCAGGGTATTCCGAGGTGCGCACATTGACAGCTGTCGGGCGTTGGTTCATTTCCAGACGGATCCAATCTTCACCTGTGGTAATTTTCGCCCCACATTCGGCCAGTTTGTCTAAAACTGCATCCAAAATATCGGGTGAGCAGTGTGTACAGGTAATGTCTCCTTGAGTCATGGCCGCGGCGCATAAAAAAGTTCCCGCCTCAATGCGATCTGCAATGACGTCATGTTCGGCACCATGGAGGTTTTCAACTCCATCAACGACCAACCGATCCGTGCCAATACCGCTAATTTTAGCACCCATTTTAACTAATAGATTCGCTAAATCAGAGACTTCAGGTTCGCGTGCGGCATTTTCAATGATCGTTTGACCTTCTGCTAAGGTGGCCGCCATGAGCAAGTTTTCTGTGCCCGTGACGGTGATCATGTCGGTCACAATGCGTGTGCCCTTTAAACGAGGGGCTACGGCATGGATATAGCCATTTTCAATCGTAATTTTAGCCCCCATGGCTTGCAAGCCTTTGATATGTTGTTCTACAGGTCGTGCTCCAATCGCACAACCGCCAGGCAAGGATACCTTGGCCTCTCCAAATCGTGCGACCAAAGGTCCGAGCGTAAGGATCGACGCGCGCATGGTGCGAACCAGTTCGTAGGGGGCTTCGGTATGGGTAATTTGACCTGCATTTAAGGTGAGGTTGTGTTCATCTGAACGTGTGACTTTAACCCCCATATGCTCTAAAATTTTAGATAACGTATTGATATCTTTTAAATCGGGAACATTGCCAAGGATAATCGGTTCTGGGGTGAGTATGGCAGCGGTTAGAATCGGTAAGGCCGCATTTTTTGCACCCGAAATGCGTATGGTACCCTTTAGCGGGGTTTTACTACCAGTAATTTTGAGTTGATCCATATAAAGTATTAAATTATTGTAAAAAAAATCGTCAATGGTGATTCGCCGTGCACAATAGGCACTCCATCGCTATGGGTTGGGCGGGGTTTGCAAAAGAGCCTGCTTCATTCCCATTCTAAATAGAATGCGCCATGGATTACTGCTCCTTGCTGGGCTATTGGTCATGTTTTTGTTGTTGTTGAGTTTGCACATCCTATTGAGTATTGATATCAGGTTGTAGATGAAGTTGTTTCCCCGTGATATTATGAAATGATCAAGTCCCCGACAGTTTGTGTGATCGAGCCTTGAAAAGAAAAATTTTCATGTTTGCGCAGCCCACTCACTGGGGGTTAGTGTTTGCATCGATAGGGCATGAATTTCTTCTCTCATACGATCCCCTAAGGCTTTGTAAATGAGTTGATGTCGCTGAACAAGGCGCATTCCATCAAAAGCAGAGCTGACGATAACGGCAAAAAAATGGCGACCATCTCCTTCAACCGTTAAATGTTCACAAGCAATTTGTTTGGCGATGTAATCTTGTACCTGTTGTGGTGTTGGGCTCATAGGGAAGCGTTTTGTATGTTAATGTTTGATTTTGTAGCCTTTTTTTAGCATAACTAGGGTAATCGCCGAGACGATGCTAGTGGCTATTATAGCAATGGAAAGGCTCTGCCATGGTGAAACATCGGCAACATTTAAAAACCCATAACGAAAACCATCAATTAAATAAAAAAATGGATTCACATGCGATAGGGTGGCCCAAAAAGGGCTTAGGGTTTGTACAGAATAAAAAACGCCGGCTAACATCGTCAGTGGTGTAATGAGAAAGTTTTGGAAAGCTGCCAATTGATCAAACTTTTCTGCCCAAATTCCCGCGATCATGCCCAAGCTACCCATTAACCAACTACCGATCAAGGCAAATAGACCTATCCATATTGGGTGTGCCATTTTTAGTGGCACAACCCAATAACTCACCAATATGATGACCGCAGCGACAAGCAGGCCACGGCATGTGGCTGCGAGTACATAGGCGAAAAACAGGTGTATTGGGGTAAGAGGTGAAAGCAGGATATAGACCAAGTTTCCGGTAATTTTAGATTGGATGAGGGATGAGGAGCTATTGGCAAAGGCATTTTGCAACAAACTCATCATGGCAAGCCCGGGGAGTAAAAAATGTGCGTATGAATAAGATTTTGCAGGGTTTTCACGGAAAACATGGCCAAAAATCAACAAATAAAGCAAAGCCGTGATCACGGGTGCTGTAACAGTTTGCATAGCGACTTTCCAAAATCGCAGGGTTTCTTTTTTGAATAAGGTATAAAATCCAAGGGCTTGGTATTTGGAATGATAGGGGGGTAGGGGCACGAAGCTCATGAGTTTTGGGTGTTTTTTTGGGTCAGTTGTAGAAAAACGGTTTCTAAGTCAGCTTTGCGAGTTTCAAAATCCATGAGCTCTCCAGTTTGGTTGAAATATTCGATCAGTGCGACCGCTTTTTGTGGATGATCATATGGCGTTTCTATGATGTGGTCATTCGAATCCGCACAGGGCTTTAGCGTTCCCAAGGTTTTTTGCGCAAGTGTTTGTGCAGTACTTAGGTCTGTGCGAAGGCGTACCGACAAAATGGATTGGTGAAACTGGTTTAATAGCGTTTGTGTGGGGGCAACGGTGACCAGCTCGCCGCGTTGAATAATGGCAATACGATTGCACAGTGTTTCAGCTTCCTCTAAATAGTGTGTGGTCAGCAAAATGGTATGCCCTTTACGATTAAGGGACTGAATAAATTGCCAAAGAGTCTGGCGCAGTGCCACATCAACCCCTGCGGTGGGTTCGTCGAGTACGATCACGGGGGGTTTGTGAACTAAGGCCTGTGCAACCATGACGCGGCGTTTCATCCCGCCCGATAAAGTGCGCATATTGGCGTTGGCCTTATCGGTGAGCCCCAGATGGCTTAAAATTTCATCAATCCAATCATCGGGATGTCGAATACCAAAATACCCTGACTGCCACCGTAAGGTCTCACGCACTGTAAAAAAAGGATCAAAAACCAGTTCTTGGGGTACGACCCCTATGGCGCGACGAGAGAGGGGGTAGTCTTTGACCACATCATGGCCCATGACCCGCGCTCCCCCTTGGGTCGGTTGAGTTAGCCCCGCAAGGATAGAAATTAGCGTGGTTTTTCCTGCACCATTGGGCCCTAAAAGCGCAAAAAATTCACCTTGTTCAACAGTTAAGCTGATTTGTTTTAAGGCGGACAGCTTGGAAAAGCTTTTAGATAGGCCAGTGATATCGATGGCTGGTGTGGTCATGAAGTGCTTTTATTGAAGGAGATTCTTAAAATCGTTAAGCAAATCTTGAGTTTTAACGTTGTGTGGTACATAGAGGCGTAACTGCCCTTGCAAGTCATAGACAAATAAAGCCGAGGTGTGATCGACGTTGTAGTGATCTTTGTCTTTGATTTCTGCCTTTTGATAAAACACACACTATTTAGAGGAAGCTGAAACACTGTGCAATCGTATTGCCATTATTCAACGCGGCGAGCTGGTCACCGTTGCCCCCACACAAACGCTATTAAACCAGT